AAACTAAGTTTACAAATTCAAGACAAAAATTCATTTGAAATATGCTGAACTATTTTTTCAAGCTTAAAAAGCACTCGCTAAGTTAAATGTCTTAACTTTTTCCACAACTCAATATAATTCTTCTAAACTAAAATGTATCAAATATAATAAAGGTGGTTTTCAGAGATTAAAAAAAAAAAAGAACAAAAAAATAAGGCAAATGGTTCAACTAATATAGTAGACTATTTTTCTACTATATTCCAGAAATGGAACTAAGGCTATGCGGAGTAAACCCAGCCAAAGTAAGTTTGCTGACAGCACTGATTCAACTAACTTTATTGGACAAATACTTGTTTGTTAGGTTAAATCCAATCCACTTCTAGATCTTACTGTTATAATACACAACAATTCCAACCTCAATATCATATTACTTCACACAAGACAGTAATTTCATAGAAAAACCAATAATTTAAAAAAATTTTAATTTATTCAAGATTTTAAAAAAAATAGAAGAATATTATAATAAAATGAAACTGCAGCAACAAACACTAAAAACATTAACAGACCAATACAATTGCCACTAGGTGTCACTCTGATATAAAGTTCTTGGCAGTCTTTAGGCTTGCTTTTTTTATACTTGGACTTTTCCTAATCTTTCCAATAACATGGAAAACTGCATTTTCTTTAGAGCATCTTTTTGCATTCTTACACTTATACATATACAAAAAAATTAGTATTAATCCAGTTCTTTAATTAAGGGTAAGTGGAACTATATCTAAAAATTAACAATTATGTTATAGGTCACAAAAACAGTAATGAGTATATTTTATAAATTTTCTATGGCAGATGAATTAATGTACATATACTCATTTATTGAGCCATTTAATTTCTCAACAGGTATTTCTTGGTGCCAAACACTGTGCTTAGAGAGAGAATTTGTAGAAGAATAAGACATGTTTTTAATAAGAGAAACCTGAAACATAAAGAAAAAAAATACTTTAAAATCCATTTTAAAAGTCTCTATTACTGATACCAACAATAAGCAAGGCTTAACAACAAAACTGCATACACAGCCCACAAAGGGCTACACCAAGACTGTCGACTGCAGGTAACTGGGAAGGCTGTGCTACTGGGCTCTACCAGAACACCTAGCACACAAAGCTATTCCATCAAATCAGGGAAACAACTAAAATGTAGACAAGAGGAAGGACACAAAGGAAGGAGATGGAGGAAAAGAAAAGATTTGACATTGAGTTCAAAACAACAGTTATAAGATTATTTAACAATATCCTAAAAAAGGCCGATAAAATAAATGAGACCTATGAGGATATGAAAAGGGAGCAACTAGAAATAATAAGGAATCAACTAGAAATGAAGAAAACATTGTCTGTAATAAAAAATATTATACAGAGTCCTAAAAACAGACTGGAAGATTGCAAGAATCAAGACAAAGATTTAGAACACAAAGAGCCAGAGGACACTCCTCCACAGAAACAAGAAGATAAGAGAATCCAGAAAGTTGAAGATAGTGTAAGAAACCCCTGGGACAGGCCGAAACCGGTTTAGCTCAGTGGTAAAGGGTCGGTCTGCGGACTGGAAGGTCCCAGGTTCGATTCTGGTCAAGGGCATGTATCTGGGTTGCGGGCGCATCCCTAGTAAGGGGGTGTGCAAGAGGCAGCTGGTCGATGTTTCTCTCTCATCGACGTTTCTAGCTCTCTATCTCTCTCCCTTCCTCTCTGTGAAAAATCAATAAAATATATATTTAAAAAAAAAAAAAGAAAAAAAAGAAACCCCTGGGACAATTTCAAGCAAACCAACATCAGAATTATGGGGACCCCAGAAGAAGAGAGAGAGAAAAATACTGAAAGAATCCTCGAAGAAATAGTGACAGAAAACTTCCCCCACCTGAGGAAAGAAATAGACTTCCAAGTCCAGGAAGCACACAGAACCCCAAACAAAAGGAATCCAAGGAGGACCACACCAAGACACATCATAATTAAAATTCCAAGAGCAAAAGACAAAGAGAGAATATTAAAAGCAGCAAGAGAAAAGCAGGTAGTTACCTATAAAGGAGCACCCATACGATTGTCAGCTGATTTCTCAACAGAAACCATGCAGGCCAGACGGGAATGGCAAAAAATATTCAAGGTGATAATAGCAAGAACCTGCAGCCAAAAATACTCTACCCAGCAAAGCTAACACTCAGAATCGAAGGACAGATAAAGAGCTTCACAAATTAAAAAAAAAAAAAAGCTAAAAGAGTTCATCACCACCAAACCAGAATTATATGAATTGCTGAAGGGGGTTATTTAGAAAGAGGAAGAAGATAAAGATAAAAATTATGAACAACAAATACATAACTATCAACAAGTGAATCTAAAAGCCAAGGGAATTTAAAAAATCTGATGAACAATATTAACCGGTGAATATAATAGAATCAAAGGTATGGAAGGGGAGTGGACTGACGATTCTCAGGGAAAAAAGGAGTGGGGGTGCAGGAAGAGACTGAATAAAAACTATGCACCTATGGATGAGGACAATGGGGGATGGGGAAAGGATAGAGGGTGGGTTGGGAACCTGGTGGAGGGGAGCAATTGAGGGAGGGAAGAGGAACACATTTGTAATAATCTAAACAATAAAGATTTATTAAATAAATAAATAAATAAATAAATTAATTAATGTCTCTATTACTTTTTATGGAATCATAGGAAACAAATCAACTTAACTATGTCTATAGAAGTCAAGAAAGGCTCCATAAGAGGAAAAATTTACATGAGATAATCAAAGATGGAAAGGACAAATGGAATAGAATATAGGAAATAGGAAAAATCACTGAAAGATATACAATAATATTTACACTCTAGAAAGATCACTATAGGGAAATTATGTAAAATACAGACAAATCTACACAATGGGGAAAATATAGTCTCTTTTAATAAATCATGCAGGGGAAACTGGGTATCTACATGCAAAAGAATAAAGTTGAACCTTTATCTTACACTATACACAAAAATTAACTCAAAATGGATTAAAGACTTAAATGTAAGATCTGAAACTATAAAATTCCTAGAAAAAAACTCCACAGCATTGGTCTTGGGAATGATTTATTGGATATGACACCAGAAGCACAGACAATAAAGATATCATACTAAGTGAGACTACCAAAAATCTTCTGAAAAGCAAAGGAAACAATCAACAAAGTGAAAAGGCAACATTCAGAACAGGAGAAAAATTTGCAAACCATGTATATTACAGGAGTTCATATCCAAAATATATAAAGAAGTCCTATAGTTCAATAGCAAAAAAGGTAAACAACCCGATTTAAAAATGGGCAAGGGACCTGAAGAGACATTTCTCCAAAGAAGATATACAAATGACTAACAGGTATGTGAAAAAATGCTCAACATTACCAATTATCATGAAAATGCAAACCGAAACCAAAATGAGATATCACCTTCTATCTCGTAAGATGGCCATTATACTTAAAAACAAAAACAGTAACAATTAAAAAATAAACACCAAAAAAGAGCAGTGTTTGCAAGGATGAAAAGTTGGAATCCCTGAGCACTATTGGTGGGAATGCAAAATGAAGCAGCTACTATGGGAAAAAAGTACAGAACTTCTTTAAAAAATTAAAAATTGAACTAACATGATCCAGCAATACCACTTCTAGGAATTTATCCAAAATAATGGAAAGAAGGGTCTTAAAAGAGATCTGCAATTACATGTTCACTACAGAATTATTCACAATAGCCATGAGGTGGAAACAATCTGTCCATCAATAGATGAATGAATAAAGAAAATGTACATATACATATAAAAGGAGGAAATCCCATAATATACTACAATACAGATAAACCTTGAGGATATCATACTAAGTGAAATAAGCCAGACACAGAAGGACAAATAATGTATGATTTCATTTATATGAGGCATTTAAAGTAATTAAACTTAGAGAAACAGAAAGTAGAATGATCACTGTCAGAGTCTATTCAATGGGGAAAATGGAAAGTTGTTCAGGGGATATGTTTCAGTTATGCAAGATGAAAAAGTTCGATAGATCTGCTGTACAACAATGTGTATATAGTTCACAAAACTATCCTGGATACTTAAAATTTTGTTAAGAACATAGATCTCATGTTATATAGGTTTTTTTTAACCACAATTTTTTAATGGAAAATATATGAGAATACTTGGGGACACAGGGAGAAATGGCTGGAATAAGAGAGGAATCTAGGCAGAAGAAGAAACAAGTACATAGGTCCTGAGCCTATTAAAAAAAACCCAAGTAAGTCCATTACAACTTAGACATAGTGAGCTATGAGGAGAGTGATAATAGATGAGAACTATAATGTAGCAGGGACTTACAGCCATGTTAAAAGATCTGAATTTTTAAAAACAATGGAAAGTTTCTAAATGGCTTTAAGTAAAGGATAACAATCTGATTCATGTTTAGGAATGATAATATTTTTAACAGCCTTGCTTTTCTCTGTAATAAATTAATAAAATTAGGAAAGAAACTCCTCAAAAAGAAAAAAAAAGAAAAAATTTCAGAAATCCCTGGTATTTAGATTTATGGTAAAATTATGTTAAAATAGAAATTAATATAATTCCTGGTCCTACAATGAATATGGCTCAAAAATCTAAACTAAATATGAGTTCAATATAGCTTCTCTACAAATGGCAGGCCTACACTTCAATTTTCCTTTGAAAGAATAGTACTGAAGTATTTATCCAGTTGGCAGAGAGGAGTGATAAAACATGTCTTATTTCTTCTCTTATAGTATAAAAAGTGAACTTCAGCTATAAAGTCCTATATGCAATGTATCTAACAATTATGGCATTTAAGCTCCTAAATGTTTGATTTGCATCTGTACTAAAACAGCATTCTTTCCCATCCCATTCCATTCGCTTTTTTTTTTTTCCTTGTTGACAGTCAACTCAAAAGAAAAAATGCATAAACTGAATATTTACCTAATGAATATTAATTTATGAAGGTTTTGTGAGAGGGAAAACCTTACCAACAGTACAGCTGTCTTCAAGTACCACATCAACATTTCTGTCTCTGTATTCAACCCTGAAGTCCAGCATCCGAGGTTGTCTTTCTACAATTTGTCTAATTGGCAGTACAGGTCGAAATGCCGAGGAGGAAGAGGGAGCAGGAGCTGGAGCTGGAGCTGGGTGACTTGCTGGATCAAATGCAGGTCCTGATATAGTATCACTTCCATAGTCACTGAAATATTAACATTTAAAAAGGGATTAGCATCAACCAAATCATTATTGGTTACCATTAAGAACCTGTTCCATACGTTTTCTATTCTTCCTATCAAATTTACCTACCTATACATCCCCACCTAACCTTAAGTTCTACTTTCTCCACAAAATCTTTCCAAATAACTATAGACCACATTATTATCTGTCCCATCCTTGTTTTTCTATGTCTAACAGCAATATCATACATAGCATTTGAATTTAGATTTTTGCCTTATATTATTATGATGTTGGTAAGACATTATTTTAAACTCTGTGAATTAAGAACAGTATCTTTACTCACATTCAAACAATGAATCATTATTTGACTGGTTAACTCTACTTTTCACAAAAACTATTTTAAAACTTCACCTTCCTTAACCTTCCATTCTTTCCATCTGACTCGTCAGTCATAAAATGTTTATTTTTCCTACTTTGCAGAGAAAACAGATGCCATCAAGAGAAAGTTCCCTTAGCTTTTTTATATCAAATCCACAAACTAGTCCACATATGCATACTCTATCTCTCTTCTTATAAAATAGAGAAGACATCGTTCTATCTATGCAAAATCTGAAACTATCTTCTCATTAGCTTTACATTATGGATTATCCCTTCCTTTCCAGCATCTTCAATATCTCCTTACCTTAGATTCTTCTAAAAAAAAAAAAACAACATTTAAATATGTTCCAGTATTTCCCTTCTTAAAAAATAAAAATAAAATCCTGGTTCTAAGAAAATTCTTATATTTGTAAGGATTAAATCAGATAATGTGTATGAAAAGCTTAGCACAATGCCTGGTACCTCGTAAGATCTCAAACTCAGTATTATCCAAAGTTGTAACTCATTAATGATACTTCTCCAATATTCCTCATATCAGCTCCCCAAGCCAGAAACCTCTGACATTATCTTTGACCCCTTCTCTCTCAACTCCCACATCTAAATAGTCCTTTCAATGTTACCTCTTAAATACCTTTTAGATCAGTCATCCACCCTCCCCCTCTGAAGCTGCCACCCTACTCTAAGTCACAATCACTTTTTATATTAACTAACATAAAACTGTCCTAACTAATCTCCCCTGCTTTTCACTCCATATCACCACTAGACTGAAGTTAAAGACAGAAATCTCTTCATTTTCTTCAACACTCTCTCTGCTCTTCACTAAATAATTATAGTGGTATACAAGGTCCTGTATGATCTGAACCTATCTACCTTCCCAGTCTTATCTTGTGATATACTACCTCCATCTCTCTACACTACTAGCTACTAATTAGCCTTTCATTTCTTCTGCCTAACCTTGATTGTGTTTCATTGGCATACACAGACTATTCTTTCCTCCCCATCCTCAAATTCCATGTTTTTTCTAGCTAATATTTATCCTTCATATCACACATTGAATATTTATCAATTAAGAACATATTTTACTATCTCAGGCTAGTTCAAATGTCTCACCACTATCAATAACTATGTATTTAGTTGTATAATTAATCATTTGACATTTAAATCCCCACTAAAGCCGAAACTGGTTTGGCTCAGTAGAAAGAGCATCAGCCTGTGGACTGAAAGGTCCCAAGTTAGATTCCGGTCAAGGGCATGTACCTTGGTTGCAGGCATATCCCCAGTAGGGGGTGTACAAGAGGCAGCTGATCGATGACTCTCATCAATGTTTCTAACTCTCTATCCCTCTCTCTTACTCTCTGTAAAAAATATATATTTAAAAAATATATATTTTTTTTAAATCCCCACTAGAATGTAAGCTCCACAAAGGTGAAACTGACATTAGTGTTGTATCCTATGCCCTGTGCTCAAGATTTTATATATAGAAGGTACTCAAATATTTGACAAACTAATGAGGAATAACAATCAAAGAATACGGTTTTTCTCTGACTTGATTTATTATATACTGTCACAAGGGAACATATATATTGTTTCCATTGGAACATTATTATCATAACCAGAACTATAAGCTCACTCTAAAACATTTTTCTTCTCAACCAGAATTTAAGGAAAAGCAATAAGCTGGATACCAGAGTAGGAACAACCAAAAGAATGACCAAAACATGCCAAGTTGAGTATTGTTCATACAATTAAGCAGAAGAAAATATTTACATTTACTTCACAATATTGCTTTAATCAGTGTTTACCAAATTATAGATTACATAACTGATTTAATGAATGGCGATAATGTCTCTTCAAGAATATAACAGGATAGGATAGGGTAGGATAGGATAGGGTAGGATAGGATAGGATAGGATAGGATAGGATAGGATAGGATACGATACGATACGATACGATACGATACGATACGATACGATACGATACGATACGATGGAATAGAAATTACAAGGATGTATCACTTAGCACCAAATATTGTTTCATAAAACTTTTTATTCTGGTACATATTTACACATGTATATTTTAGATTCCAAGTATTCCTCATGGTAGGTCATAGTCCAAAAGTCTGAAAGTGACTAGCTTAGACCTCACCAGATTTAGATTCTACAGTAATCATTGTTCCACAGACAAAAATCTATCTTTTCTCCCAGTTGTTAGATTCAAGGAAAGTAAACTTGGAAGGAAGATATGGGAACAGAGAAAATTTCCAAAGCAAGAAAGAAGTCACTATTGGATCGAAAATGAGCTCCTATATATAACTAAAATCTATGCAGTTATGATACTTCATATCTCTAAATTTTGTCACAACTTCTCAGAAATTAAGAAAATAGCTAAAGTTAGTAGGCTGTCAATGACTTCTTAACTCTAAATTCACCTTTTTATAGTCTATTCTGTGATGCTGGAGATAGGATTCTGCAAAATTATATACAGCGTGGAGAAAAAGTAGGTTTACAGTGGTATGTAAAACAGTTTATTCTTGTACTATTATTTATTAACTATTGTGTTATTTTCCATACAAATAACTGTAAACCTACTTTTGCCCCACCCTTTATTTCCCTTTGGCATATTGTTTCCTGACAGATTCTGCCAATAAGGAACACTAAATACTGGTAAAGATTAGTAAGTAGGAAGAATGGAGGAACAACTTCCTTCTTCCTATTGCATGTATTTCAATGTGTTTACCCCTCTGCTTCGTCTCCTGCTTTTTTTCAGCACTCTTATAACCAACTTCTTGGCATCTCTTCAGAGATACCAATAGTAGCTGGGCAGTATGCACTGCAGAGATCAAATCCTGAGCGCCAAGGATTCCTTCTGTGCTTCAAAATTCTGTTAATCCCTTCTTTCCAAGATGGTAACTTCCTGAAGCACTTATTATATCCAGGTTATACTTCAATTTAACTTTTATTGCTCTTTTAGTCTTATATACCTATTTAATCAATATTTCATTAAAATCCTTCTGTTGAAATACCCTAGTGTGGTTTCTCTTTCTTGCTAATGGAGGTGTCCCAGGAAACATAGGATTCAGGAATTGGCTTGATTGTGTCCTTGACCTTCAATGCATTGCTGAACACCCTGCCAAGGGAAAGTGGAATACCATGACAGGCACGATAACTGATTAAATTATCACTTATAGTTAACTAGAAGCCCACTGCATGAAATTCATGCATGGGGAGGGAGTGTCTGTCCCTCAGCCCAGCCTGCACCTTCTCCACTCTGGGACATCCCTCTTACAATCCAGAAATGCTGGCTCCCAACCATTCGTCTGCCTGATTGCCCCTAACCACTTCTGCCTGCCAGCCTAATCACCCCCTAACCACTCCCCTGCCAGCCTAATTGACTCCTAACTGCTCCCCTGCCAGCCTGGTCACCCCCAACTGCCCTCCTCTGCTGGCCTGGTCGCTCCTGTCCTCCCCTGAAGGCCTGGTCATCCCAAAATGCCCTCCCCTGCAGGCCTGCCCCCCCCCCAACTGCTCTCCCCTGCAGGCCTGGTTGCCCCCACCTGACCTCCTCTGCTGGCCCAGTTACCCCTAACTTAAGGTGACCAGATCGTCCCGCTTTTAGTGGGACAGTCCTGATTTCTAACAATTTTTCCCGTGTTTCTTGGCCTAAATTTCCCAATTTTTTGAAAGATTGGAAAGATTCTTTCCAAAAATCAGGACTTTTTTAAAACGCCACGGGATGTGGGAAAAATTGTTAGAAATCAGGACTGTCCTGCCAAAAGCAGGACGATCTGATCACCTTACCCTAACTGCCCTCCCCTGACAGCCATCTTGTGTCCACATGGGGACGATCATCTTTGACCACATGGGGGTAGCCATCTTGTGTGTTGAAGTGATTATTAATTTGCATATTACCTCTTTATTATATAGGATTATGATCACATGCCTTTGAAACAAGTGCCTAAGGAGAACAAATGATGATTTGACTTAAACATAATGGTGATAATAATGACAACAAGGATTGTGGGCTGGCTGAATGAAGAAGCTACAGAAGAAAATGGCATATTTAGAGGTTTTAACTTTCAATTCAAGTCATGATAAGAAAGTTACAGAGCTTCTGAAGTGGCCCTTTAAAAAGTTTCTGCCCTAGCAAGTTTGGCTCAGTGGAAAGGTTCTGGGTTTGATTCTGGTCAAGGTCATATACTTTGGTGTCAGGGTCAGTCCCCACCCCAATCAGGGTTAGGGCACATGTGGGAGGCAACCAATTGATGTGTCTCTCTCACCCTGATGTTTCTCTCTGTGTGCCTCTCCCTGCCTCTTCCAACCTGTCTAAAGCTTGATGGAAAAATATCATCAGGTAAGGGTTAACAAAACAAACAAAAAAGTTTCTTATTTCTGTAATCACAGATATGCTCTTGCTGAGAATTAGACCCAAGTTTTAATTTTGCAGTTTGCATAATTATAATGAAAGTTGAATATACAATTTTTAAGTCTCTTTTGTATAAGTTAAGGCACTGTTTTGGATGGAATGCGACCCTAAGATATGAAATGCGGATACCTGAGTGGACTCAAATGGTTAGAATATTGAATCCCCGGAGTCTCTCTGAATTTCTTTTGTGAGCAGAAACAGCTTCTCCTCCCATGACTGAAA